AGGAAAGAAAACGTAAAAGATACATAAAAATATACTTACACGCAAAATGGCGCTTTTGGTTCACGGCTGATGATAGTAAAATGAATTGTAGGGAATATTCTGATTCTCTGAAGGAGTTGAAGGAAAAATTGTTAGGAGGGGTAATTTTTTCATTTCCAATAATAAATCAGTGTTATTTCTGAAATAATACAATTCATTAATTTATACAGAAACTTAGACTTACCAGAGGCATAATATGTAATACTAGTACTAAAAATAAATAATATATTTAAAATAAATATTAACCAACACTTAGGGTTACCAACTCTTCAGTTTTAGTACGGAGACTCCAGTTTATTAAAAATAATCTCCAGATTTTTCAATTTTTATGTAAAACGAAATTTGATTGCTTCTTTATTGGCAAAATGTTGTTATTGATACGTATATTGTCATATACAATCTAGTTACTATGCTGATTTTCTACATAGAGTATAGAGTGAGCTAGTGAACGCTATATTATTGTTACATGTATGTAGGTAACCCAACATACAACATACATAGTGGCAATGAAGATCAGGTTTCTAGACGGTATATACTGGAACATTCTGCGACACGGCCAGTCCTATAAATAATTGACGCGAGATCGAGTAGAGTTAGTACGAGAACGAGTTCGAGGCGATACGAAGCGAATAAGTGACAAAGTGTTTATATAGTGGTGAATTATTAATTAGTTAATAATAGAAGTCATAATTAAATAGCAGATAGTTAAATAAAAGTAGTAATAGGGTGAGAAGGTGTTTAAATACGTGACATTATTATGAGAACTGGAGTTTGTATTATTAAAATATATATTATTTAAATAAATTAATTAATCTACTAGTTGATTATTTTTCAACTATCCAAAACGAATAAGCCTTTTTCGTAAAATGAATGTCTCTAGACTTATTCGAAATACATATTTCCGGATATTCTAAAATTTTGAGTTGGTAACCCTACAAACATCACTAAAATTAAATCAATTTTCAGTATAAAAGCTATAAAACTTTTTTCATTAAACCTAAAATTGAATCAAAAGAAGGTATTGATAGTTTTTTCAATATTTTGTTTTAATTCTGACGTAGACGTAGAAATGGCGGCTATGAGCATAACAAACTACTTGGAAACTTAAAACGGTTGTTCAGAAATGAACAAAGTAGAAACACCTTTTTGTTTTTGTTATATTTATCATTAGGTGGCTCACATTTTTATATGAAAGGCTTTTATTTATGTCCACATTTCTTTCAAAATAATTTTATTAAAAAAAAAACAACATATTTAAATTAAATAACATATGTAACATATTATACAACAAAGAGGATGACGCTTATTGACTAAAACATAAGAAACGAACTTTACACGAAGAACGTTTCGCCACAAGTAATCTATATCACAATGAAAAAATTTACGACTAGTAAAAATTTCTTACTTCAAAACTTACACAAGCTAAAAACAAGTTGTACAATAGGTATACTTTTTTTTGCGCAAAAAGCTAACATCACTATCATCATTATTATTACAATCATTATATTATGTCGTATATATAATACTGACTTAAGCAGGACATTAACAAAAACAGTATAAAAAATATAAATTTAAAAATTCCTCGTTAGATAAAAATTTGTTCTATTACGATAATAGATATTTTTTTTTCGGTAACCTGACCACTTTTGTGACTTTGGTGTTTTTTGTTAAATAAAAGTATTAAGTGATTGCTGAAAACGTTATTACCAACATAAGATTTAATTTATAAGTGTAAAAATACAAAAGTTAAAAACCAAAAAGGCATATTGTTCCTTTTAAAGCTGATTGACTGTCAAAGTTATTTATCAGCTAAACGATTTGCTAGTTTAACGAAAAACCGACAATACTCATATATTACAGTAGTTTTTTTGTAAAAATAAATTACATATCAACTGTCATTTTAGACTTCAGACTCGATCATCCCCTTGGATGATTAACGAAATGAAAAAAAAAACAGTTTAGAGGTGGCAGAAAAAAAAAGTAAAATTTTGAAAAAGTTAGTTCAATTTCTTTTTCTTTAGTTGTATTTATGAATTAGTCTGTACAGTGATTTAAAGCATAGTAAGTAGTAATAAAATACAATAGAGGTAGCCATTGCTATAAACTACCAGAAATAAAAAGGAAAATTTAAATTTTTACAATAGCGTAAGAACACGAAAACACTACAAGTATAATTTTGAATATTTTTGAAGCTTGAATCTTTATTTGCTTCTGATTTTGAGTTTTGGGTAAATACTTTTTCTTAATTCCTTTCAAATTTTTATTCCAACATCTTTTCTGTTTGATTATGCATTCAGTTGTTAAGGATAATTTAAATGTAACTATTTTTAATCTACTGCTGTTTTTGACAATTTTAAAGGAGTTTAATTTTATGAAAGGAAACAACATGTCCTTTGGCTTAATACAAAAAGAAATCTAATACAAACTTTAAAACTATGTTTCCTGGCAAAAATGTAATTATTTTTGGATTTCTTAATATTTTGGTAATTTACCAAACTAAAAAAAGTGTTTAATCGAAATCAATATTAATATTAGATTCAAAATGCCCTTAAATTTATTTTGATAAAATAAAATCAGCATTTTATATTATATTATATTTTTCATTCTTGATTAGCGAATATAATTGTTTATATTTGCTCAGAAAACATAACTTGAAAATTCGAAAAATATTAACCTATTTCGAATATTGCATGTCAATGTGTTAATATACATTTAGATAAAATTTAAAAAATTAGCAGTGACTAGCAATTCGTATAAATACTACTGTACGAATACAAAAAGAAAGGAAAGAAAACGTAAAAGTGTACATGTATGTATGTATCCCAGTCATCCAATCTAGTATGCAGTTTTAGCAGATTTTGGAATGGGTTTAATTCTGTAAAAACATCGGAAATTAATAAAAAAAAGTTGCACATTACTAATATATTGTATTAATACGTAGCACATAACAGTTACATTTTGAATCACGTGCTTAAAAATTGTAAATCCAGGAAAAACAAAATGTGTATGTATACTGTATTTATATGTAACGCTGAATTTGCATAAAACCTTATAGGGCCTACAAAGATATCAGAATATATCTATGTAAGTACTAGTATAATTCGTTTAAATTTGGACGGCTGATGGTCCATAGAACTCATTGTCAGGTATGTTAAACAAGACTTTCTTTCATACCGTGATATATCATCCAATATCAACCATCTTTACAAACCTATACCCAAAAAGACTAGAGACAGTAGCAAAAGTTTAACCCAAAGCAAAAATGTCTGAAAAACGTCATAACAGTAGACGCAATCTCTGCGCGATAAGTGACTACCCACTCCTTAACTCCTCCTATTGGATGCGCACTATCATACTGCGCAACAAACTGCCGAGCACAAATTGGTAGCACTCTTATCATAAGACCTATTTTTATTCTAATTTGTTCTTGTGCGAGGTTTATAGTTTTTAAGAAAATCCTATCGTTGGTTTTGAAAAATTTATGTTTAATACAAACTCAAGTAACTATTCGCAAAAATTAATTTGAAATTAAATTTTCTTTTGAATTCTTCATACAAAAATTACCATTGTTCAAATTTCTACAAATTTGGTTTTGTGCGTGCTAACGTATTTAAATACATCTGTAACTGTGGTTTTAATCATTTGTTCTCTATGACTAATATCATTTTAATTTCATTGAGTTGTCTATTATTTTTATTTTATTTGTTTCGTGACACGCGATGTTAGATAATTCCAAGGTAAATTGTATTAAAGTAGCTTTAGAAATTACCTAATTTCATTAACCCAAAATATTTCTATGCCACTGGGGTATTTAAAGATACAACGAATAAAACAGGGTGGCTATATACATTTATACACATTCTTAACTCAAAATTAATATCTACAGAAGAGTAACAGAAATATAAATAATAAAAAAAAAAACTTTTTAGTTTTAATAAATATTATACACATAAGGTAAGACACTTAAAAGGATTCGTCGGCTATTTTCCTTAAAAGCAAAAAATATATTAAAACAGTTTAAAATAATTTTGATGTTCACAAACATCACTAAAAT